ATTGGGTTCATGCTTGCTAATCGCCCGTCACGCATCAATTGACGACTTCTCGCGCAAATATGTCTCTGTGACAAGAAATGAGTTGACACCCGTTGGACCCATCTCATTTAGTGCTGATTGCATTATTCTTCTTAATTTTAAATTGCCTTCATAATAATATCTATTTAACTAATGTAGACATGTTTAAGTGTTAATTTTTTTAAAATATATTATTAAATCATTTGCATTTGGGCAAACTTACTCAAAGTTTACAGTTAACATGGGATAGTTCAGAATAATAATAATTATTAAGAGACAAAATAAATTAAAGTTTTATATTTAAAATCAAATTTATTTATATTTAAAATCAGATCGTAATAATATTGTTCATTTGGAATGCTTGTTCGATCATTCACAGACACGGTAAGCACGTGCATATGATCGACCTGTTGGGCACAGCGTTCCCATCTTCCAAACAATCCGAATTGAATCCCTTGGCGGCTGCCTCTCCAATACTGGCCTTACTCTTCGTCCATTATGATCGAAGATATTGAATTCGACACCCGAAAGAAAAAGAGAAGAGAATATACAGAATATTAAAGAACAAATTAATGGTGACGTCAGAAATAGAGGCAACGAATTTAAAATGGGATTATAATAAAAATCAGCTGAGCGTGAAACGCGTGAAAATCACATGCCTGCGTGTTTGGTCAAGCGAGGTCGAAGTTGAGGGCTTGAGGCACTTTCAGGTTCAAACGTTTGAATTTTCCCCTTAAGGAATGGAAGCGACGCATAAAGCTCTGTTTTGTAAACTACTGTAACAATGGGAACGTGACAGTGATTTTTATGATGTCTGAGGGTGAGAGTCAATCCTATGCATGCGGGCTAATAGTACGTTATTTTAAGTTTTAAATAATTAATTTAAAATTTATAAATAAAACTGGAGGAAGAATTAGGAAAGTCTTGTTCTCGGTTTTGCTAGATTCAAGCAATTGAAGTAGATTTGATATTTCCTCTAATTTTTATTTTAGTTAAAAATAATTATGTTTTTCTAAGATATTAATATCACTCTACCGATAAGAATTATTAGTTGGAAGAGTTTGCTTGATTAGTTAAAAATATTTTTAATTAAAAATATTTTAGATAGCACATATAATATTATAAAATATGCTAAAAATACTTATTATGATAATCGAAGAGAATATTAATCAATTATTTGGACGAGGAAGTATAATAAGAAAATTAAATGAGTTTGAGCTTCTTCTTTTCTTTTTGTTTTTTTTGTAAAAACGAGTTATACGAAGCAGTCTAAAGTCTGAACTACTCGCACTTGCCGGTTACCATATCCTTAGGCCCGTGCACCCTTGGATGGGGTAAGGATACCACGTGATCCTAACGCTTTATTATTTTTCTATCATTGTTTGTTGTTATATCTGTTGGCCACCATAATTTGTTTCTATGTCGCTTTTCCATCAGTGTTTTGCTTCCTGCTGTCTGATATTTTAAGGGTTAAAAAAGTTTCCCGCTGTCTGATATTTTAATGAAAAATTATTTGTTACAAACTTTTCCACCCTTAATATGTATTTATATTACCGAATATCGTCTTTGAAATTAACGCTATGTTTGGTATGGGGTTTTCGAAGGGAAGGGGAGGGAAGTTGCTCCCCTCCCCTTGTTTGGTTGGTGTAATTTTTTAGGAGGGGAGGGGTTCTCCTTGTTTGGTTAAGATGTTTTTTAAAGAGGGGAGGGGTTCTTCTCCCCTCTCCTTTCCTTCTAGCCTTTCCTTTAAAAGTGGGGTTTTTTGGAAAGGAGGTGAGAAATAATATTTTAATTCCTTATATATCCTTTTGATTTATTAATCTCTAATCAGTCGTAAACATTTCTACATGAGAGAGTTCTTTTGAGCATCTAACAAGAGGTTATTAAGATAATTGTCTACAAAATCAGTGAGCATTTATAAACATTTTTTTTCTCTTCTTCTAATTCCAAGAGGCCGTTGGTATATTCTTTCATCTTCAAGGTATTTTCTCTGATTGAAATCTATTACTTGTGACTTTTTATCTTGATATTCTATAAGTGTGTGACTGTGTTTTGTAAATCAAAATTGGTGAATTGTATTATATATATAGTTATATCTTAACAAAATAAAAAAGTGAGAAAATTCATTTAAATTTTATAAGGTTAAAATAGTCAACTTTTTATTAGAACAAAATAAGGTATTATTAAAATTGCTCCCTCCCCTCCCTTCCAATCTATCCAAACAGAAGATCATTAAAATCCCTCCCCTCCCTTCCCCCTCCCTCCTCTCCCCTCCCCTTTGTAACTACCCTCTCGTGTCCTTCCCTCCCCTTCCCTTGATTAAAATCCCTCCCCTCCCCTTCTCTTTGTCAAGCCAAACACAGCGTAAAAGATTTACATTGCTGGTATTCTGACCAAATTATTCGTACGTCTGTTATTTATAATATAAAAAATACTCGATATAATTTATTCAATTTTATATACAGATTATATTTATAAAAGATAATGAAAAAAATTCAACTACGAATTGAGTTTTTGAGGACAATATTTGTGTTGAATATATTATGATGGACTCGGTCATTGCCATAAAATTACATGATCAGAAAAATTACAGGATGGTGATCCGCACCCACACAAAAATGTCAGGGACGGTGATATCCCTTGCACAGGCTATGTAGTCACATGATGCAACTGGTTAACGCCCGGACAGGTTTAACGTAGCGAGTAATAAAAAGAAATCGAAGACAAATTTTGAGCTTAGTTTCGTCTCAAACGTCGAATTAACAAGTAATCATTCTCATTCTTAATACAAGAGTAAGTTGATGAATTTGAGTAGATTAAAAAATTAATTAAATTAGTTTTTTTAATAAATAAATATTATCTTTCTCAAAATGTTATTGTTAATAATGTATACTAGTTAGAATTGTCATTTCATGAAACATATAACATATGTAACTATTATAATGACTACTTTAAAAATAGATAAACATAATAAATAAAATGAATTGAGATCTGAATTGAATATCAAATTAATTTTTATATTATATCAAGCGTCAAAAGTAGTAAAATTTGAATATTGTATGATTGTATTCGAAATAAGAATGAATGGTGTTTTAATATGTTCCCTACTCTCGAATTGTCCATAGAGACTGCAATCTGATTGCAGAGAGCACCGCAAATAGGGATTCCACAGCTACTCCATTGCTTGACAGGGACATGGTTTCTGAACACAAGTTCTTGGGACCAAAAGATGCTCAGTGTGTTTAATTTTTGCATGAGGCCTTGGACTCCCTTATATGCACCAAAAAAAAAGGAAGGTAAAAACACCATCATCTCGTACTTGGTTTGATAATTTAATTTTTCACATTTTCATAGGAATATTGGCTATTTTTATTCAACATATATAATTGCATTCTTTATTTTCATTATTGTGCGAAGAATGTTAATACTAACTATTATATATATTTGGGCATACAGGGAGAGGATAGTATAAAGGAAAAAAGAGATAAAAAGAAATTAAAAATTATAATATTTTAATTCATGTATTTAAGAAGTCAAAATATCAAAAGAAGAAGTAATACCTAATTTGGTATTTTGAAAATGTAGTTAAATAATAAAATAAGAGAAATATCTTTGTATCAAAAAATTTATTAACAAGTTGTGAACAGGTAATAATAAGTATTGAACTGCAAATAATAAGAAATGTACTTACAATGACAAGTTATTAATTAACAAGTTATGAACTGATAATGACAAGAAATATATTGACAGTGATAAGTTCAACAGCTTTTTTCAAAAAATTTGATATGAGAGTATTTTGGTTAATTTACTACATTTACAAAATACCAAATTTTTTCTTAAAATTTTAATTTTTTAAGTACCTGAATTGAAATATTATAATTTCATATTTTTTATATAAATTTTCCTAGGGTAAAGGTGCTATAATTGCGAGTTGATTTTAATTGACTTGATGACAAACTGAAGTGAATTCGTGGCATAACTGACAAGAAATATCCCAAGTTCAAGAATTGTTTAAAACATGGACATGATTGAATTATTTCCTTCGTGTTTGGATGTTAAATGCGTTTAAGTTACTTCGCGCCTTTTTTAAGCGTTTGATCCCCCCCCGGGTCTGACATAACTTTAAATTTTAAATTTTAATTTTTAATATGAAAACTAATTAACTAATTTAAATAAATTAAAAAATTTTGTTAGGTTAGTTATTTATAATAAATAAGTTTGTTTTTTTTAAATATATTTATTAATCACATATATTAGCTAGAATTACTATTTGGTAAAATATTTAACACATGTAACTACTACACTAACTATTTTAGAAAAATAGATAAATATGAGAGATAAAGTAGATTTGAATATCATATTTAAAATCAAATTAAAAATCAAACTAGTTTTTATATTAAGAATCGAGTGTAGTATTTTATTATATTTAAAAAATTGAGTAATAAGTACTACTATTAAATATTTATTGAATTCCAACTTAAAATGGTAACATATAGTACGTGGTAGTTTCTTCTTGAATTTGACCATAAATTTCATGATAGAATATAATAATTTTTTCAATCCAACTTTCGATTCTTAATATAAGAATCTATTTAATTTTTATTTTGATTTTAAATATAAAATCTAATTTGTTATTTATTTATTTTTTTAAAGTAATTCCTGTAATAATAGTAATTTTAGCCAATATATTTAATTAGTAAGAATATTTTAAAAAATAATAAATAATTATTATAAATAACTAATTTAATTAATTTTTTAATCTATTTAAATTAATTAAAAGTAGTAATTTATAATAATTTTAAATACTCTGGAGTACTACTAATTTATAATAATTTTATATACTCTGTACTCGCTTGTGACTTTCATTTCTACGAAAAATCTCCTTGGCAATATCTCGAACTGGGCACCGAAGCAACCGGTTATCACGATGAGAGATAAAATGTTTATATATTCCATCCCCTCTTAAATTGGGTTGAGGTGTTCTTTCAAACGTCCCGTCTCTTTCTTTTTCTCTCTGTGCTCATGGTATCCGATAGTCGGCGATGCTTTAGCTCCTGACGCTGAACTCATCGCCTAAGAAATTAGGAATGCAATTTCTCCTGGCTCAAGTGAAGGTGCTTCCTTCCCTTACCTTCGCCTGCGAGCTATATCGTCCCTCTTCCTTCACCGTCGTCGGAAACCTTCTCCGGCGAGTTGGAGAGAGTGAAGCCGCTTTTGATTCTGCTTCCTTTCGCTCTTTTTATTAACTAGTGTGATCCCTAATTCTCCGAAGCTCTTTCACTCTTTAACTCTACTTTTGTTCTCACTATTTTTCTCCAGAATCCCTCGGCTTTAGCCTTTTTGCTTACATTTCCTGCGACTAATTGTTTCCGATCGGATCGATTTTCGCCGTCGTATTCATCGATAGAAAGACTATCATTCCTAGTGGTGTACCGAGAATAGTTGACTGTTACAGTTAATAATATAGTGCTGAAAATAAACAGAGTTTAGTCGAAGTTTCAAGACCATGTTAGATCTTAATCTTAATGCGGATTCGACCGATTTGACTCAGAACCATGACTCAGTCATGTTCTTCGACAAATTTCCTGAAGCTTCGGTGAATCAAATGGCGGAATCGGGAACCTCTAATTCATCTGTTGTCAATGCCGACGGGTCTAGTACTGGAGGAGGCGATGATGACTCTTGTTCTACACGGGCTGGCGACGTTGTCACCTTCAATTTCGATATCCTTAAGGTGGAAGGCGGAAACGAGGTCGCCACCAGGGAGTTGTTTCCGGTTGGTGGAGCAAAAGGAGTGGATAGCGACTCTGGGAATTGGCAGGGGCAGTCTTCATCACCCTTTCCATCAAATAAGAGCCGGATGGATCTCTCATTCGATAGTCAAGGTGGCAGCACGGAGGCAAAGATGATTCAACTTCAGCAACAACCTCAGCCGCAGGTGAAGAAGAGCAGGAGAGGTCCAAGGTCTCGGAGCTCCCAGTACAGAGGAGTCACCTTCTATAGGAGGACCGGAAGATGGGAATCACATATCTGGTTGGTAGTTTCAGATGAATTTAGCATTTCATGTTAATTTCTAGCATGCCCTCTCTACATGTTGGCTGCGTTTTCACGGGGGGGTTGTTGTCCTTTTAGTCGCGCCGTTGCTTGCCTTGTTGAATCTGGTCGAATTTGATGATTTCGTCAATTTGACCGATCTGACTTTCCTCTGACCATGCGATCATCTATAATATACTGGGAAGGAAATTCAATAATGTCCTGAGATTGTAATTTGGCAATACATGTTTGAATTACCTCTGACGTGTTTTTTTTTTTTTTTCTTTTTCCCGTGGTTAATTAACGTAGGGACTGTGGGAAACAAGTTTATTTAGGTATGTATTCAGTAGTCCATTAATATTTAAATTATCTTCTCCTTTTTACTATATTTAGCAATTTTTGACGAGATTGCTATTGGAACACGTAGGTGGTTTTGACACTGCACATGCCGCTGCTAGGTAAACTTTCGCCCATGAATAATTTTATCCGCATATTTCAGTTTTGGAACATGCTTCTGTATTCTTTTAGAATTTAATATGTCAACCGTCCGCCTCATTTGACATGGAATTTTCATCCGTAGAGCCTACGATCGAGCTGCTATTAAATTCAGGGGAGTTGAAGCTGATATCAATTTCAACCTCAGTGATTATGAGGAGGATCTTAAACAGGTTTGGAACCGCACAAGCACCCATCAATCTAGGGGGTCTCGTATTAACATTTTTCACCATTTACTAAATGATTTGCAGATGAAGAATCTCACCAAGGAGGAGTTTGTTCACATTCTTCGCCGCCAGAGTACTGGTTTCTCTAGGGGTAGTTCAAAATACCGGGGGGTTACACTGCACAAATGTGGACGCTGGGAAGCTCGGATGGGACAATTTCTTGGCAAAAAGTGAGGACCTATTTCATAGAAACTGAAGTAATGGATTGCCATGATTTAGGATTTGTCGTTATAATTCAAGCATCGATTGTTCAGCAATGAGAACTGGTTTCCAATGAATTCAGATGGGCTATTTTTGGTCTTATCTTTTCCTGCTCATCCCTTTGTTTAGAGAAACATGTTTAACTAATGTGCATATTTCTAAGAAACGATTGGCAAAGGTGTTTTTATTATGGAGATTGAATGCTTCCGTGCAGGTATATATACCTTGGGCTGTTCGACAGCGAAGTAGAGCTGCAAGGTCCTAATGATACATGAATTACATTCTACCTGCGCTGAATTTAATTATGCCAAAGCATTGAGCTGATGAGGCTTTCATCCAACACATATCTCCCTTTTTTTCCTTGAAATCAGGGCTTACGATAAAGCAGCCATTAAGTGCAATGGGAGGGAGGCAGTAACTAACTTTGAGCCAAGTACTTATGAAGGGGAGTTAAATCCTGAAGCGATCAATGAAGGTAGTTTTCCTAATAGCATCTGATCCTCTTTATATCTAGGTACTTTCTAACAGATTGTCTATCTAAAAAGCAATTTTCCGTGGACTTGATTTTAACTCAGGTGTCCGTCACAATCTTGACCTCAACTTAGGCATAGCAACCCCAGGCAAAGGTCCCAATGAAAGCAGGGGCAATCCTGAGCTCCAGTCATTTCCTCACGATATGCATGCCAGAACAAGTTCTAGGGTATTTTGAACTTTACTGTTGAGATGGTATTTTGGAATGTAGCCTGAGAGAGGAGTTGTTTTGGTATCTGTAATGTCCCATTTCGCTAACTATAACCAACACCCCCCCCCCCCCCAAAAAAAAAATTTGCAGATGGAGACTAACACTGTCTCAGTAATTGGTGATCAAGCTATGCAAAAGCTTGTTGTGACTGGAGATCGCCCTTCTGTATGGAATGGCATATATTCAAATTTCTTTCCTAGTGAGGTGAGTATCACTGTCTGGTATTTAGCATCATAACGGGACCTGATTGGTTATTTCTTGATGATGTTCTTCTTCCAAAAACTTTCGTATCACAATTCTTGCTAGTGTCTTATTTTGAATAGAGAAGCGTGGTTGACTTATTGATTTCATAGCAAACATAATGAAAATTGACTTTTATGTTCTGGAAATCCAAGTTTTCAGAGCTTTTGGTGCTTATGAATGTTGTCTGAATAATTAAGGTCATACCATCTCCATTATGTTACATTCTTCTATATCGTTCAATACTTTGATAAGAATTCTCAGAATTATGTGTGAAAACATTACTTGGGGGATGAGTCCTTAAGCATGTTTCCATGATCTACGGATTATTAGATATTTGAAGTATTGCTTGTTATATCAATAAATTAAATTTAGATAACATTTCATGTAAAGTCCATTCACAGCATTAGAAAGAACTTTGAATACGTCCTTTAAATTTTAATTCCGTCAATTAAGTTTTTCTGGTGTCAACTTTTAATGATGGGATTTCTGGTATGTTGTAAGGTGACTGAAATTTGACTAGAAAAATTGTCCTTCCAAATAATTCTGATGGTTCATGATATGAATACTAGAAGGAATAGGCTGGATAAATTCAAGTCAGGGACACTAGCAGATTTGAGAAACGATAATGCTTCAATAGAGATTGCGAAGGTTGAATTTATATACTAATCAATCTAGAGGAAAGCCTTTTTATTATTATTGCTTACATAGAGGAACCTGTTAGGATTGGCGCAATGGGCATGAATAAGATTTTGGCAGTAGACACATGATACTGTGACGTCTTGTGCTGGAAGATATTGGTGAAACCTGATCTAAGGGGGAAATGTTAAACTTTTTGGCAGGAAAGAGGTGAGAGAATGATCACAAGTCCTGCGCAAGGACTCACCAACTGGACGTGGCGAAGGCATGGCCAGCCAAGTGGTAGCCCAGTTCCACAGTTCTCTACTGCAGCATCATCAGGATTCTCCCTTTCATCCACTGCTATCTTCCCGGCGAAACCTATGAACTCCCTTCCCTTGAGTCTCTCTTTTTCTTCTCCATCCACTTCGGCTGCCCCCACCGCACCTCAATATTACTACCACTTGAAGCAACCCCGTTCACTGCCTTAGCCTAACTTCATCTCATGCATGGCAATCCAGATTATACAAGTTTGTAGTCAAAATTCTTTGCTTGTTCGAGTTATTGTGATTTGCTTTAAAACATGCTCAAGAAAATTGCTGATTCCTTCATGCATTATCTTCACTTCCAAACCGTCACCTATATCTTAGAGAGAGAGTTTTATGTTCTGTTTAATTAGCTGAGTAGTTCTGTATTCTGATGGCCCTTCTGCATCACGAGAAGTTTTTGTCTTGTTTTGCATAGCCGAGTGTGCGTCATACATTGCTTGTCCTTGAACAATCACTGTTTGGATTTTAAAATAAAACTTAAATTTAGAATGAATTTTCACGAATCCGCGCGCCACTATAATTTTGGATGGCAATAGGAGGGAGGTTGTGTTGTCAGCGTAAACAAATACGTAACTCGGGTTCTTAATACGACTTTGATTTTTATTTAGTTGTAATTTTAAGATCTTAATTCATTTTATTTTTTACGTGTTTATTTATATTTTAAAATAGTTTTTGTAATTATAATTTTAATCAATAAATTTAATAAATTTGATTAGTAAAGATATTTTAAAAAAGACTTTGTTTATTATAAATAGTTTTAACTAATCTTTTTAATTTATTCAAATATTAAGAACCAGTAGCAGCATCTTCACATGTTATCAGAACTCCGTTAAAGGGCAAAAGAGGAGGGCACCTATTTCAGGGTTTTCAAACTAAAAAAAAAACCGATTGTCAGACATAAATCTTGTTTGATATAGCTTATAAGTAATTTTTTAATCATGATTTACAAAATAAGTGTAAGAGATAAAATGTTTTTATAAATGATTTCAACCGTTCTTCAGCCGAGTTCCAGGTACATTGTTTCCCCGGTTGCAGGTGCTCTCGCCTGGAAAAGGGGCAACGTTTCGCTTCCCCAACCCCGCCCAAAAATAGGGGAAAGCAAAGAAAGTAGAGTCGGAAGAACACACTTCGTTACCCAAATTTTGCACATTATGTTCTAATCCAACACCGGGGTTCCATGAAGTTCGTACGCCGAGATATTTTTTTGGGTGACCAAACTCGCAACCTTTTATTTACGTATCGATCTGCGTCTTATTTTCCAACGCAGTAGCCTAACGATCTGTTTGTCATTTTTCAAGGCAGAAGCCATAGTGTGCCAATTCGCTACCCAAGAGGGCATGTACAATGCTTTAGTGGGACTCGATTTGTAACATGTTTATACAATGATCTTTTGCTACCCATTCTTAAGGAGAGAGAGACCATGAGTTTCGCTTCGCTCAGTTGGAAAAGAATACTTTCAACAACTAATATTGAATCTATAGACAAAATCCGAACTTGACAAGACTTCAGTAAAACTCGAGAGAATCATGGCAAAATAAACTCCAAGAACTAAAATTTAAACCTTAAACATCAATAATACAACTATGGCCCTCAAGTGGTCTCAACAAGCTCAGATACCTACCTGCAGCAGACTTCAGAAGGATCAGAAAAGACAGAAAATTAGCTGTTATTGCCATCCCACCTAAAAGATGGTTCATATGGTGACTTAACTTGCATTGTTGGTTATAATCTGAAGCAATAATCATAAACAAAATGGGCAAATGCAAGGATAAAAACAAGTGGAACCACGAACGCATGACATCTTATAAAAAATGAGGAAACAATTTTGCACCCAAAAAAACAAAAAAAAGGAGGAAACAATGAATAATGGCTTAAAAGAACAGGCCGTTTCTAGCTGGGGACAAAACCAAAAAACAATGAGCTGCTAAAAGTATTCTAACGCAAAGAAAAATAGATATAAATATAATATAGATTTTCAACGAAATACCAGACGCCCCTAGCTCTGCCTAGCAAGCAACAGTATTACATAATTTCAGACAGTTTCCGCCTCATTTACTGAACCTCAAATGAAATGCAAACTCGTCAAAGATGCGACAAAGGCTCTCTGTAAAATACTTGCCATTGAACCAGTCCCAACAAATTTGTACATACTTCCATCCACAAAGCGTGGTTAAAACTATAAGAAAATCACAACGCTAATGAACATGGGATTCATTCACTGGTTCTAAATCAAAAAGTTTTTCTGCTCTGCACTTCGTAGGGAAAACGCTCACAACTAAGTTCTACCTGGCAGTTCGATCACCGTGGTAGGTATTGTTGGCAGTTTGTGTCCCACTACAGCTCACTTCTGTAAATACAGACCTTCAAAGGACGCGAAGGTAAAATCAGAGCTCATCCTATGAAAAGCAAATGATGTCATGCACTCAACATATAATGAGAATGCTGGTGCAGTGAACCCAAAAAATAAAAAAATTTGGGGATGGGGAAAGAAAACTTTACACGCACATCTAAGGCGAGCAAAATCACTAGCTAAGAATTAAACCAGAAGAAAACAATAGTTAAGTATAAGGATTACCAGCTGCAGCTAAAGACCATACTTCTAGGGAGTTTGACAATGTTTGCTCACTATTTAGCCCAACAGATCAATCGTGAGTCAGTCCCATCACCTTCAGCAATGCAACAACAGTTTTCATCCGTCTGTCTTGGCTTCGGTGGCTAGCCATCAGAAAACCAAACAGCCAAGCAAATCACATCCCATAAGTTCGGTTGTAAAGATCCCCAGAATTTGGCATCCTATATTTTGAATCATCATATCCTGCATATAACTTGTTAATTCCAAGTCTTTCATTTCTTAGTAGCTCAGCCACCCCTAGACTACTTCCACTCTGCACCTCATTCCATCCGTCCCATTGGCCATTAGACATAAGAGCGTTTCTAGGCTGCTGTAAGGACAACTGAGCAAAAGGGGTTAAATTGCTGACTTGTGATTGATCTAACCTTGAAGAAATGCCATAAGAATCACCAATCTGAGGAAAAGTACTCCCAATCTCAGCAAATCTGTTCTGTGGTTGTGAGAGAGATCTTTGCATCAATAATTGAAGTCTGGCCTCATTTTCAAAGTAATTTAATTGTGGGGAGAAACTAGATCTGATGTCCAACCCAGGGCTGTTTAGTGGACCTTGAAGTCTGCCAGTGCCAACGGCCAAAATAGCAGGATCTACTAATTCAATGTCCCCTGTACCACCAATATTTCCAGCTGTGGGTGTCTGATATGAATTTCTCAACAAAGAGGATGGGTCAAGCAAAGAATTCCCTATCAAGAAGGAAAACAATTTCACCATAAAAATCATGCAAATGTATATACATATGCATATGACAATAAATGATTAAATAGGCAGCATAACTAACCGGATAGTGAACTGAAAGCCTGTTCCACTCTCTCGTAAGAAGAAAAACCAGGTGGCGGAGGCCTACTTGGAACTGAAAATCCTGGAGGAGCAGAAATTTGAGCTCTAGAAGCAGCTGCAAATCAATATAAAACCAAGGTCAACAGATATTTGTTCACAGCACTGATACAAATGCAAATCTCACATCAACTCAGACAATGCATAGTTTTGCAAGGATGCACCTAGACCCTTTTTCAACCTTAGATAGGTGGGGATCGGGTGAACCAGCAACAGCTTTAGCAGCTGCTAGCTATTTTAAGCATATCTGGACTGTTTCCACTTGACACCATTGAAAAAGTTCATTTTACAAAACATAACGCCAAAAAGGAGTACATGTCAAAATAAAATATCAAAAAAGCAAATGTCTCCACGCAAGGATGGGGTAAAAGCAGAAATTTAAGGATGGTATAGAAAAGAGTAGCAATGAATCCAATAACAGGATCCAACATGGAAGTAACTATAAGCTACATTAGCTATTTCAACAAGCCATTAATACTCACCGGAATGCTTATTAGAAGCAACAAAGGGGCTGCAGCCTAAATTTTCGGATTCCTCAAGTTTACAGGAAGAGAAGCCATTTGCCATGCCCAACTTCCTATCATTATACAAGTCTTCTCTTTCAGAAAAATCCTGTATGAAAGAGCCCCTCCTTGGAAATTGCTCACTAATGCTGTAAGACGGGTTTGCATTAAATCCTTGCATTTTAGGTTCATCCTGTCTAGCGAAAGAGAATCTTGACTGACTACTATTCTGCACTTTCAAAGAACTGGATTTTTTCAAAGGAACAAACTGGTTATCAGTGTTGTCACCAAGGAACTTAACCAAATTCTGAGGCGAGGTTAGTGAGTCATCCCATGCATCAAAGTCCATGGACAATATATTTGAAATTATACTACTCTCACCCTTATCCAATACAGCATCACTTCCAGCACTAACTGATTCAGTGAATAATCTTCCAATGCATTGTTCATTTCTTACATCCTGAAGTGATGTACAATCAGTGCTGCCATTCAAACCGGAAGAGCAGCTGCTGACCAATTTATCAGGATAACCATTACATAACATGCTGGATGGGTGTAATAGAGAATCATCACCAACCTTAGAATTAGCAGATACAAAATCAACACTCATAGCATGGGACTGCTCCCCATGTTGGATGAGACTATGATTAGAATGGATTGGGACATGAACAAAACTTGTTGACTTAGGCATGTAAGGAGAATGACAAACAACTTCGGGATCTTTGAGCCTTTGATTATCAAAAGAAGCTATATCGTCTTCCAAGTCAGTTGTGGCTGATACTATTTGAGCTTGAGAATTCAATTTCCAATCAGACTGCTCCCAATCAGACAGAGCAGCTTTACCAGATTCGTTTGCAAATTGCACATCTCTAAATTTGTCATCTTTGTGCTGATGTGATGCTTTAAGTTGAGAAGACTTCGTCAAGACACAGTCAGAAGGGGGGCTACTAGATCTGTCCATACCATAGGGTTCATTTTGGCCATTTTTTTCAATGTTAACAGAGGATAGATTGGAGCACAAGTTCTGAATCTCTTCATTGGTAGCAATAGTTGCTTCCTCAGGACCAGAGCTGCATGACTGCCCAGTGATCTCAGTAGAATTTGCTGTGATTGATGTAGTACAACTGCCTCTATCACCATCTCTAGACAACGGCAAAGAAGGCAACAGGCTGTTTGAATTCACAGGTGCAAGAGAACCATCAGATGTAGCAGTCTTTTCACCTGCATTACTCAGATTGTCCATGCCATTGAATTGCTTCACAGGTTTTAATAAATCATTTCGTACTCTGAGGTTATCATGACTTCCGTCACTTGATGGTGGCCTCTTGGTTGCATCACTATGCAATGAATTCTGGCTTGAACCTGCAACAGCTGAAGAAAAGGGAAGGGTGCTACCAACAGCATCAGCTTTTGGCTTAGGTGGTCCATTTGGACATAATATACCTCCAGTAGCGGGCTGACAATTTGTAGCTCTTGCACCCCTAAAACAAAATAAAAAGATCAGGGAACATATCATCGTTCAACAATTTCAA